TCGTGCAACCTCCACACCCCTTTCGCACCTCTTTATAGCCTATGGGAGGGGCCATTCCCCGTCCACCTGTGCCTTTACCCCCAAGTTGGCCCTTGTTCCTTAGCTGTTCTCTTCTCCTGGCAGCTCTGCACATGCAGACACTGGGAACAGGCTCCAGCTGTTCTTCTGCCCACTGATATCTGACTCCGAAGGCAGCTGATAACTATCGGACGGCCCTGGCCACATCTCTGCCTCCAACGCAGAGCACTCATGAGAGCCCTCCCCAGACTCCAGGACTGGCCCATGGTCCTCCCCCAACCTCCTCACTGTCTGCCACCAGGTCCGCTGGCAGGCCACAACAGTTCCTAGCTTGATCCAGTTAATCGGTTGGTGTAGCTGTCTTCTCCAGCTTCCAAGCTGGATGGCACTTGAAGGCAAAAGAATTAATATTTCACTGTTACAGTAGGTCCAAGGATGAGTTTTTAGATAAAGAGGAGGTGCTCAAAATCCTGAATCTGGAATGGACTAAGTGGATTCATCTGACGCTTTTAGGTGGGCAAATATTATACGCCTGACTTGTGGACTTACTTAAAAGAATACATTAATTAAAAAAAAGCAGGACCAGCCTGAATGGTACTGGTCAAAAGGTGACATCTGGAAAGCTTAATTACCTTCCAGGTGTTTTGGTCACACTTAATTAATTTCTTGAGTGGTGAGAATATCCACACCTGGGGACCTAATCAGGGAGGGGCATTTGCAAACTGCACTTGCAACTCAGGCCCTTTTGCAGGCCATTTCTCTTTTTCTATCTTGTGGTAGCTGGGAGAACGAAAAGTCCAGGAGACGCTAATGGGGAAGCAGCAGTGATGAGAACTGATGATGTAGGAAAAGGTTATCCTAGGGTTTGTTTCAGAGTGAACTGTTACCTGGAGCAGCAAGTACCAAGTTGGTGAGGAGTCTGGAATGAACCCTATCTATCTATCTATCTATCTATCTATCTATCTATCTATCTATCTATCTATCTATCTATCTATCTATCTATCTATCTATCATCTATCATCTAT